CTTACTCTGATTAAAAAATAACATCTGCAACAACAAAAGGAAAACAAAACCTCTTTTCATTAGTTTTGAGAAAAAAATAGAAAGTAGAAGGAAAGAAAAGAAATCCTGTTATGTGGCTTACATGCCTAATATTACCTTGCTCTCATTTCTAGAATAAATGCAATTGCTAATAGGAAGGCTGTTTATTAGATCATTTAAAAACACCATTTTATTCTGATTATAAAAACAATAAGATGCTACTTTAGAAAAGTTAAAACCATAAATATACGCAAAAAAGAAAACCCTAACAGATTATTTCCATCTAGTATTTTATATGCAGTGCCATACTGTATTTCTAAGTACAGTATATGTATTGATCAGTAATTATGATTTTTTCCAATAACAATATATGTCATGATCATTTTATCATTTTAAATAGCATCAAAATTATGACAGATGTCTGCACAGATGGCCATAATATAGATATATTATAATTTGTTTAAACATTAACCTAATATCATAAAATTAAATTATTTCCAATTTCTACCATATTAAATAATGGAGTGAGGAAACTTTCTGCATGAACTCTTTTAATTGTTTCTTAGGATAAACTCCTAAAGGTGAAATTACTACTCAGAGGGTATGAACTTTTAAAATCCTTATTCTTATTACAAAAATAGTATACAAAAAACTAAGTTTGTAATACTCATGCCTACAGTATATGATAATTCTCATTTTCCCATACCCTTCCCAACAATGGACATTCTTTTTTATTATATATTTTTATGTAAAAAATATTAGAAGCTTTTTGTTTTCAAGTGGGATTTATGATTAATAGTGAAGTTGATCACTTCATCATATGTATTCATTTCTTTTTATGTGCATGTGAGTTGCCTTTTTGGGAATTTTATCCATGTTTCTATGAGAGCATGCATCTTTTCTTTGATTTATTAAGGTGGAAAAGAATTAGTCAGATATCTCACAAATATTTTTCTCTTTTCATTTTATTTGTGATGCTTTTGATACACTGAAACTTTTAATTTGTTTATTCTAATTTGCTGTTTTTTTATTTTCTTCTTTCATTGAAAAGAAAAAAGGCCTTCCCCATCCCAATTTATGCAACATCAATATTAATTTCCAATGTGATGATATTTAGAGGTGGGGCTTTGGGGAGGTAATTGGGTCATGGAGGTGGAGCCCTCGTGATGAGATTAGTGGCCATATATGAAGAAACACAGGAGAAGTGATCTGTCTCCCAGCCATGTGAGGATCCAGCAAGAAGGAGCCATCTGCAAGATGAAGGGACTCTCCAGACATCAAATCTGCTGGCCTTCCCAGCATCCTGAATTATGAGAAATTCTGCTTGTTTGTTTAAGCCACCCAGTCTACTATATTTGTTACAGCACCCTGAACTGACTAAGGCATGTTGCTATAATCAACAGGATTTTTAAGTCTTTTTATGAGTTGTTCTATGACAATAGGCACAAAAAATTTTGCATCCAATAAATATTGCACATGAAATCTTACATTTCACTCTATTAATGTTTTATCTTCAAGTACCTCAAACTAATTACTTTTAAAAAATAGTTGACCTTTATGCTATCCTATTGAAGAAATAATGTTTGTACTTAATAGCATCTACTTAAACACTATCACCTCTCAGATTTTGAGAATGCACTTCTAAGGTAATTTCCACACATTCCACATATAAATTTGTATTTATATGAAGTAAATACATTTTGAAAAAAATATCGTTATTTCTAAATTCAAAAATGCAAAAGATATTAGGTAAAATTCAAAACTTTATGATATATCCTGTCAAATCAGAAGTATAAAAATAGATTCCTACTCCATATAGAAATACTAGAATGAATAGAAAAGTTCTTAGTCATGACATATGGTAGGGAAGAAAAATGTCAGATTAGCTAGATGTCTTTTTCTCTTTTGAATCGTAGTAAATTTGGCTCTAAAGGTGAATACATGAAGTAGCTAATTTTAATATTAATACTAATTTCAGGTATGCAAAAATAATCATCTAAGAATGTCTCCTGGAATTTTAAGTAACTGACAACACTTCAGTAATAGGGATCCATTGCATGAGATATATCTCCACACTGTATTAATAATACATTTTATAATCTGGTTGATATGGATGTACATGTGTATATCTGGTAGATATACACAATAGCATACTATTCAGCCTTTTGAAAGAAGGAAATTCTGTTATTTGTGACAACATGGATGAACCTAGAGGACATTATGCTAAGTGAAATAAGTCAGGCGCCAAAAGACAAATAACACAAAATCTCACTTAAATATGGAATCTAAAAATAGTTGAACTCATAGAAGTAGAGAGTAGAATTATGATTACCAGAGGCTGGGGATGGGGAAATATCATGGGAAGTTATTGATCAAAGCCTGCAAAGTTTCAGATGGACAGAAGGAATAAGGTTTGAGATCTATTGCACAGCAGGGTGACTACAGTCAATAATAATATAAAATAAATAACAAAGAGTAAATTTCAAATGTCTCATCATAAAATATAAGGAACCAAGGTGACGGATATGTTAATTTGCTTGATTTAATCATTCCACATTATATACATATATCATAACATCACCATGTACCCCATAATTTTATATAATTATAACTTGTCAATTAAAAATTATACTAATAAAAAATAAAAACCAAAACAATAAAAGAGAATGAGGAAGACCATTCAATGTGGATTAGCATGGAAATAGACAACGCAACTCCTGGAATATGATATTTTAAAATATTTCCCTGGCTAAGGATGTCAATAAATTTTAATAAAGAGGAATTTTTGTCAGCCTTAGACCCAGTTGTTATGACTACAAATTATTTTTCTTGCTCACTACATATTAAATGTTTAATATCATGTATAGATAGAGTTGATTCCATTTTGAGGATTCAGTTTTTCTACCTAATTTCTTTTAAAAAAAAAAGTAAACTGAGTTAAAATATCAGGCATATGTACTTTTAAAAGGAAGTCCATCATGTAAAATAAGAACATATTTTCAGAAGCCTATTAATAGCATTAACTTAAACTGTGCCAATTTTAGGCAGAAAAGTCAACACATTAATCTATTTCTGTTAACATCACACCATTTGGATATTAAAGGGGAATAAATTGATTTTTTTCAAAATGTGGCTACTATAATATCACTATAAAGTTAGATTTTTTTAAAAAAAATCTAATCTGTGCATTTAGCATTACAGGTTCCCATGAGTGAAACCGCTTGGCCATCATTATTTCTTCACAACATTTGCCCCTAGTGTGGCGTACAAAAGAAACGCATGCTTTAAAGTGATTCTCAATTTTTATCGCCAAGTTCTCGCCCACATTTTAAATAAAATACCAAAGTGGAAACTTCTCAGAAATGAAAATGAAAAGCGAACAAGCTAAAAGGTGACCTCCCCATGTAACATTTAAAATGAAATCTGTTTGTTCGACAGATCTGCGCCTTCGCTTCCCTCCAAGCCTGGGAGTTATTAGAATTTTTCATACAGCCGAGACCTTTCCCACTCAGCGGCTTTCTCCTTCTTCACATTAACCTTTTCCCTGAAGCAGGACCATGCATGTTATCACAGCATGAGTGCTAGAGGAAGCTTCATAGAAATTAATAATGGAAAGGACTTTGCACTTCTTGTCAAAGCAGTGGACTGGTTCCTCTTTGCTGCTCACCGATGAACAGGAAGGGCTTACCCAGACAGACCAGAGCAAGGGGCAACATGCCCACAGTTAGCCTCTCTGGGGAAACTGGACAAATACAAATGAATCCTTACCCTTGGTTGCACTTTGTATTTAATAGTTACTGAGTACTAACAGCATGATAACTACCCCAAACTATGGGAGAAAAGTCATTAGCCTTTTTCATTCTGCAGAGAAGAAAATTTTCCAGTAATCATTTTTCCTTGTTTTAATGTAATAACAACTAAGTCTGTAAATGGAAGACAGACAATAGCAAAATTAAATATGTAGGACCTTACAGATGAAAATGAAGAATTCTGTAAACACTAATTGATGTTTTATCTGAATAAAAAAATAGAAAGTATAGGTTTGAATTAAGTGATCTACAATAATAGAATCCGTGCCTCCGGATAATTAACTACATCGATAGCTACTATGAACCAACAATGAAGCCATGGTAATTTTATGAAAATGGTGTTCATGAAAGGTGATTGTGCATAAGAATGACACTAGTCTCTATTGCTGATAGGCAGTGTTTCTTCAAGATTTCATAGTACAATAGAAACCACAGAAACATGCATGTCATTACCCATGCCTTCCCTTGGTAAACGATTTCCTGTTCATTGATGTTATTCCACTAACCAATCGAGCATTTTCTCACCTGTGAAAGTTCATGAACCTTTATAATAAAATGAAGGTTCAAGATCACATAAAATTTGGCTTCTGGATCCTTCTAGGATCTAGATTTTACATTTTCTGAAGTTCATGCTTTTTCCTCTGCCCTGGAATCAAAGAACACAGCCAGAGTTGTACTCCATGTGTAATCGATAACAACTCATTTAGTGGTAGTACTGTGTAAATGAAAATGGAATCTACCCAGCCAACCTATAATCCATTTCAAATATTTCATACTAAATTGAAACGAAAGCTCCTAACTTCATACTAAATTGAAATGTAAGCTCCTAACTTCATCACAGCATTTTACAGCTGCATTAATTAGCTTCTTTTGAACTTTGCTTTGCTAAAGATAACATTAAAAGGTACATTTCTTCTTACCATTCTTTTATCGTGGGTAAAAACTGACTTAAAATGCATTCCATCCAGTTAAAATCTTAGTGATGCATCCTTTTTTACGTATGGACCCATCTCTTTAGTAAACAATATATTTTTGTTTCTGATTTGCACTAAACGCATATAAAATAAAATCCACACGGGGCCAGGTATCTAGCTGATTCACCCAGGCTGCTCAGAGGCCCTGCTTTCAAGTTGTACGGGGAATTGAAATTGGAGAAGGCAGAATGCCACTTACACTGCTGTTCATCGCTGTTGTCCCCACACTGATCTGTGAAGTCACACACATTGTCAGGAGGCAGAGAGATCCCGTTGTCACACTGAAAGGTTTCTGTTCCTTGCTGACTCAGTGTAGAAATGAAAACACAGGCAATCCAAAGGAAACAAAAAGCTTCATTCCTCGAGAATGCCAACATTCTGGCAAGGAAGAAGAGCGTTACTTGGTATTGTGTAGTAGAAATCAGGCAATAGTAATAGGTAAGTCCATCATTGAAAACAGTCTTTTTTCTTTTCTCTATTCTTTCCTTTCCAGATTTGCTTTTTATGACTGAATATTACTGGCAACTATCTGCAACTGTAACAAATGACTCCTTAGTCAGTTAATTTACCCTTTCAGAGGAGTGTCTTTAGAAAATATTTAACTTGAGTAATTGCACCAGTTCTGTATCTAGCTAACCATCGATGTTTATTGCCCTACATCTACCATAGTTACACAATTTAAGCCTTTATGGTTATGATATCTTCTAAAAGAAAATTTTAAGGAACAAACGACAGGCACATAAATGACAAGGGAGGGGGAAACCACAATAAAGTGATAAATTATATGAAAATGTTCTATCTTAATTCCTATGCTCACTTAACCATATGCATGCAATTTAGAACATTATCGTGGTTACTAAAACACATTAAAATATTTTAGGCTCAATTATTAGAATTGCTCTATGAGAATGAAATGCTTATCCATTATTATTGAATAGAAATATCACACTGCTTATTGAAATAAATTAAGAATCATAGATTTTTAAAAGTTGAAGGGACATTGGAGATCATTATTTTATAAATCATATAACAGTTGGTATTAGAAACTAGAGGTCAAATATCCTGGTGCTGACCACAGTGTTCTTCCTTCTATAGCACACTGATTCACTGTTTATCCAAATTTGCTTTTACAAGCAAAGCACATAATTTCAGTATGCATATTCAGAATAAACAAGACACTGAAGTTGAGATCAGAGAAACATATTAATTATAAGTTTTATGAAGTAAAAAAAAAAGTAAGTGTAGAAATTTTGGGAAGTTGAACATTCAAAACATTCCTTTATATTTGATTTCTTAAAGTTCTCTTTCAACTACTTTCTTTTGATTTTTGCAATGTAACTGCAAGACACAAAAACAATTGGAGAAAGAACCATAGATTAGGGACAGAGAAGGCATCTGAGCAATTTTTTTAAATGTTGGAAAAATAAGTTTTCTTGTATTCCAGAAAAAAATATATATATATATGTTTTATATATATGAAAATATATATAAATATGTCTAAGATATAGGCATTCAGATTTCTGGGGGAAGGAGGAGTGAGCCATAATTTTGACCTACCACTGAGCACTCCATATAATCTATCATTGTGTTGCTCTACGCTTCAGTCTTATTTCAGAAATATTTCTTCTCCTGTCTCTCTGTTTTACAAATTAATATTAATTTAATACCCTGTCTACTTCTCTTTCTTTGCTTGTCTCTTAAATGTGGATTATCCTTATAGTTTCATGTTAAGTTCCCTCTGTTTGCTTAGATTACACTTTTTTTCTAGGCTTTCCCTTCACTCTCATTATTTCAGGTATTATCTATTTATTTTTGTCTCCTCAATCTTTATCTGTACTCATGCACTTCTCTCTCCTAAGCGCGCGCACACACGCGCACACACACACACACACACACACACAAACACACTTATATAGCACATACACACTCATACTAGTTGACATTTCTTTTTTATTTTTTTTTTATTTTAGCATATTATGGGGGTACAAGTGTTAGGGTTACTTATATTGCTAATTGACATTTCTACTTGAATTGAAAACTAAACTAATCTTCCTTTCCCCTACCCACCAGCCACATGAAACATGGGTCTTACTGCCGTGTTGCATATTTCAATGAATGGTACCTTTTTCTGTCCAACCGCCCAAGTCAGAAACCTCTATGTTGTTCCTGCACTACTCTCACCCACTCTACCTATCAATCACGAAGGCTTGTTCTGTCTGTACATTTCATCTCAGCAATACCCCAAACTAGATGTTTCTACTACCCACAACTCATTTTACATTCTTCAGATTGAGTTATCATTCTAAAGCACAAATCCACTCCTGCATATTTTTCTCTGAAATCTACATAAATTTCATAATTACAATGGCTTACAAATACAGCATACCTTTCCTGGGTCAGTGTTTCCTTAGGCTCCCAATCACAACTTTACGAAGCCACAGTGCTGGCACTTTTATAAACACGGTCTCTCTCAACTTTAGATCCCAAACCCCTTCCCAATCCTAATCACCAGGTTAATATTCATTATTCTTTACTTTTCAACTTAGGAGACTTTCTGTGAGGTATTTTGGCTGATTTACCCAGGCTAGGTTAAGTTTCATTCCTAGATTCTCCCATAAGTTTCAATATTCACTGATCTTAGCACCTCCAAGGCTGGTATGGGCATTGTTTATTGACATAAGCAATTCTCTCATTAGCTTATAAGAATGAAGTAGGTTGTGCATTAGATATCTGGAGTTGTTCATCCTACATATCTACTACTTTGTATCCTTTGATACATCTCCCCATCTCCTTCCCCAGCCTATGATAAGTACTGTTTTGTTTTCTACCTCTGTACATTTAAATTTTTTTAGAGTCCACATATAAGTGACATCATGCACTATTTTTCTTTTTGTGTCTGGTTTATTTCACTTAGCATAATTGGACGCTTACTTTGTTTCCATGTCTTGTCTATTGTGAACAAGTCTAGAGATCTAATGTACAACGTGAGGACTCCAGGTAATAAAATTGTACTGTATGCAGGATGCATACTACATGAGTAGATGTTATCTGCTGCTGCCAGAAAAACAAAAATAATGGGTAACTATGTGTGATGATGGATATGTTAATTTGCTTCACTATAGTAACGTTTTTACCATCTACATGTATCTCAGAACATCATGCTGTCTTCCTTAAAATTACACAGCAAAATTTATTTTTAATGGTAAAATATTACAATAAATATATCTGATTTTGAAAAAAACTTTATTTACTTTGTAACTTGCTTTTTCCCCTTAAATATGTGATTGTTATACTATTAAATTTCTTCTGTACCTGTGGGGGGATGGAAAGAATGAATTGGGATAGTGACCTTTTTACTATCGTATCCCCAGTTACTAGCACAGTTCCTGGCAGATAGTGGTTTCTCAAAGCATTCAGTTCAATTACTAATTGAATGAAATTAATAAGGGATTATCACCACTTCAAATTTTGCTAAGTATATGTAAATCAATGCAACAAAGAGGTGAAAATTTAAAATGGCACTAGATAAAAGGTATACAATTCTTGCATTGAGTGTTGCTTTTCAATTTCTAAATCTTGTGTTATTTTAAAAGGCTATTTAGATTTTGAAACTGTAATATTGTATTACAGTGGCGATACACTCCACCATCCCTCAACGCAAAGCAAGCCAGTGCTTATATCACAACAAAGCTCATTCCAGGTTTTCTTCTTTAAGAAACAAAGTAAGAAAGAGAAAGAAAAATAAAGAGAAAAGCATAAAGAGGGAAGAAGAGAAAAAAGAAAAGAGTAGATGAGAGAAGAAAATAAAAGAGTGTAAAGAGGTATGCAGAGATAGAAACATTTCAATTTTATGTCCTGATTTAAACTCAGGTCTCATAACATTTTAACATGTTCACTGTTTTCTGTTTAGGAAAAAAAAAACACGTATTTTGTTCCTGTCATAGCTGTTTATTGCCTCGTTTCAGCCAGTAAATTGCTTTATTAACCGTTACTACCTACTAAAAATAACATTATTCTATTATGTTTCAATTGTCATTTATCATTTAGAGAAGAAATGAACCAGAATGGTGGCATCTCAAGTAAATCAGGATACTCCAGTAGAGTATATAATGTTTTATAAGACACATTTAGGTGTTGTTTCCAAAAGATAAAATTATTTCTAACTGATAAATCTTTATTACTTTTTCTCTAAAGTTACCAGAATGGGCAAGGAAGAAAGGAATACTGATAGCACCTACAGTTGTTCTTACCTAGTTTATTGAACAAGAAAAAAAAGCCTCATTAGATCCTGGTGCTTTAACACTGTGTGGAGTGCTTCAAACACACTGTCTCATTATACCCTCTTGTATTGTTCCGCTACTTTTACTTTAAAAACAATTACTCAGATATAGTAACTATTTGTCCAAGATCAAACAACTATTAAATGATGGACTTTGGATGTGAACCCAAGATAGAAAAAATGCCCATATGATTTTAATTAAATTATATTGCCAATGATTCTTATTATGAGTTACAAAGCTCCTGGGTGAGACCCCCAAAAGACAAATTATTCAAAAGTGACAGTGAAACTTCTTAAACATATGGTTTTCTCTTTAAAAAAAAAAAACAAAATAATACTGAGTATCCTGTGCTGGACATTGGAGATGGGTAGAAGGAAGATAGCAGAGATACGATAAAGAATAAGGCAATGTCCCTGACAAAAGAATTTACAACTCGGGGAAGGGTATGTAAGACATTTACAAAAAAAAGTATACACATACTTCTCCTACTTTTGGCAAAAATACTGGTTAGATTTCTACTAAAAATCCAATTTTCTAACTACAAAAAAGCTATATATTGGATGCAATCAAATATAAAATACTTTGAAATATATAACCCAGTGCTGGGTCTGCAAAATACAAAGCCAATCTCAAAAGTTGAAAAGGAGATGGGAGGATACGGAGTTGATGCAACGGAGAGTTTATTACTAAAAATGCCAGGATTAATGCAAAATAATCATTGAAAGACAGTTTGAGATGAAAGAAGAAAAAGTAAAGACTAGACACTTATTTCCAGATTAAATAAATCCAGATCCTTAACCTTAAATGATGAACTGGGAAATGTGATCATAGGATTTGGATTTGCATAAATGGGAAATTAGAACTGGTATCTTTGCCTAAAGCCACAATAAAAATTTCCTGGGAAAAAATTCCTGGCATCTTCAACAAGGCATCTCAGAACTCCTATGGATTATGATCATCCAAAAAGGAAATTACAGTGAAAAATTGACACGTGGAAAGGAATTTTCTATGCCTCAGAGCCAACATAATCAAACAAACAAACAAATGCAGCAGTAGATACCCAAAGATATTATATATGGGGATTATGTGGTAGAGAATATAAAATAACTATATATCAAGTATTTAAAATATTAATTTTTTAAAATAAGCATAAGCAACAAGAGATGAACAAAAATAACCAGTCATGATTTTGTAAAATAATAACAAAAAATCTCATTATTGAAAAGAAAAAC